ACGTTATGTGCTAGCTGGGATCTGTTTTCTTCGTAGAATGTTCCAGTCCAAGAAACACAGGATACTGCCTCAAATTTTCCAATGAACACCATGAAATAGGATATCAATCTCATGTCTCTGATTCTCATGGGCATATATTTTATTGGTATGTATTTCCGCAAATAGAATGTTTTTGACAATTAAAATATATAATCAAATGACATTACCTTCATTTTGTAACACTTTTACCTTAAATAGAATGATATATGACGGTTTTAAACTAGTTTTAATTAATTTTTCTTTCAGGTACTCCAAATTTTATCCAAAAATTCAAAATGTCTACCGTTCGACTTCACCAATCAACAACTTTTTCTGTCTCCATGGAGACAAATTCCTATCCCATGAATCAAGATATCAAAATCAACTCTGTGTCATCACTGACATCAATTTTAACAGGATTTTACAAAAAATTCATATACAGGATGTTATAAAAGATACCCTATAATAAGGTATGTTAATAATATTTAATTTACTTGTTTATTTGCATAAATTTTGTTCATGATAATTGTTTCTTGTACATTTAACAAGATTTTTTATAAAAATAACATATACAGGATGTTATAAAAGATACCATATAATAAGGTATGTTAATAATATTTGATTTACTTGTTTATTTGCATAAATTTTGTTCATGATAATTGTTTCTTGTACATTTAACAAGATTTTTTATAAAAATAACATGCAGGATGTTATAAAAGATACCATATAATAAGGTATGTTAATAATATTTGATTTACTTGTTTATTTGCATAAATTTTGTTCATGATAATTGTTTCTTGTACATTTAACAAGATTTTTTATAAAAATAACATACAGGATGTTATAAAAGATACCATATAATAAGGTATGTTAATAATATTTGATTTACTAAAAGGAAATATTATAACTATTCATTATCATTTCTTTTAATTATAATTTGTAGAAGTTCTGTTCTAAAAAAAATTTTCTTGAAGAATTATATGTTTTTGACAGGGCTTTAATTAAATAAAAACAGTACAATATATATATATATATATATATATATATATATATATATATATATATATATATATATATATATATATATATATATATATATAAATGAAGAAGAAAATGAAAAATATGCTCCTTTAAATCGTTGCACCTATTTTTAGTTGATTTGTACTTACTTTGTTTTTTTAAATAAATAATAACATTTATTTTGACTTTTACAAATTTGATACTTAATAATGTATGTTCAACTTCTACAGAACAATGTTTTTTAGCATGATATTCTGCTATGAAAGAAAAAGAAATAATCTCAGATGTTATATATTCTTCTTCAACCAATTCTGTATTAACTTTAGCTTCTAAAATTCCTGAGATTTTTACTAGAATTATAATCCAGCACAAAGGAAACCTAAAACACAATATTTTTAAAATTTATTTTTAGTGATTAAAATATTATTACACTAGGGCGACCATACTTACAGCAATTTTTCTGTATTGTAAAGCATTTTTAAAGTTTGTCAAGCAAGTGGTATTGTGCAGCAAACGTACAGCAAAATGGCATAGGTATATATCCAGTGAAATGCTGTATTTATCCACCAAAACGTCACTACTGTCCAGCAATGGTAATACTTAATTTACTGAAACGTAACAAATTTAAATGTTATTTATCTTTAGTGAACTACATGAGCACTTCTATACTGCCTTTCTAGCAAGAAAGGTTTTATCTGCAAAATTAGCAGTTTTTTTTATGTGCATTTGTCTACATTTTATCTTTCTCGATACTGAAATGGAATGTCTTATTTACAACAAAGGTACTAAAATGTTAAAAAGTTACACAAAAAAAGGTTTAAAAGATAATATAAATTTTCAAATAGGACTTCTCTTGTTAGGATGGCAGTATATGACTTCTCTGTTTTTGTATTTTTATAGTTGGGAGTAGAGTTATGAGTATCGGTCAAAGGTATCAATACTGGTATCATGTGAGATACTTTGTGGTAGAGGCATCGATACTGTTCGATATTATGTTAAAGATATTGATATTTATAAGTCTCGAGTAACAAAGTAAAAGATTTTTTTTAAACGGCTGACAACCCCCATTCAACAGGACGGAGAAGGGAACTTAACTAATAACAAGAGTGCATCAGTAAAGTATATTCTGTAGTTGACAACTTTTCTTTCTCTACTGGTACTCTACCTGGTACAAGTTATAGTGTCAATAACTGGCAATTTACCTTATAATTAAAAAACAAAAAAACAGTGGTAACGCTTAATCATATTACCAAGTTTCACCACATGCAAAAACTAAACTATTTCAGTACAAATATTTGAACAAACCTTATAATCTCTGACCACATACATAGGGATACAATACTTGCTTCTAATTATCACTATGGCGATATAATTCAGTATCAGTGCCTAAATATCGATACTTTCATTGTTTAATATCGTTACTTCTATTGTATTAAGGCATCAATAAGATCCCTATTATCGTGTAAAATAAATATAAGCAGTCATTTAATTGTATCTACTTGTTTACAATGATTTATTTTTTTATTGTATTTGGAAATTGAAATTTTACCATCTAAAACAACAGACAATAAATTAGAAAATATGTATCTATTTTATTGAAAAGAAGAAAACAACTTACCAAACTTATTCAAATGTATAGTTTCCAATTTCTTTAAAATCTCAAATACGTACAAGAAAAAGTGACAACTGACATTTTTTTATGTTTCGTTGGTTATGACAAACGAATGGCTACGTTCGATAACAAGATTATGTCCATAGTACATCTCGTGGAAACTTTTTTAGCAAGTTACTTAATTACGTTGTGTTATCATAACAGGCAGGTTAAATACGTAAGTAACAAATAGATATTTCGCGAGGTTTTGATTTCCCTCAACAACTTCTCATTAACGTTGCAATTACGTTGTATGGGTATGTTATTATGTTCCCTTAAAACAACATCGCCGAAAGGCTTGGCAACGTTATGTGCAGGCTGGGCAGTATTGTGGCAGTACCAGGGTGCATTGACGATGTAGACGATGCCTTATTCTGGAAACGTTGAATAACTTTGATGTCACTTTTATGACACATCCCCAAAGTTGGTGAATCGCTTCATTTTCACCAATTCCTTTAAACGCCCTAATCTGAAACAAATTATAGGTAATTAAAAAGGTATATTAATATTGTTTTAAATTAACTATAATAAAACAAACAATACTCATGCATACATAAAACATGAAGCTCTACTTTTCAATCAGCTGTAGAACTAAATAAAATTGGTGGAAGGACAGCAAATGTAGGTTATATTTAAATAGAAATAAGAACATAAAATGCCTATAAATTAAATTTGATAAACGAAATGGCGTACGATTAATGTACTTCTCAAGAAAATGCTTGGAACACATACTGCTGAGAAAAGAATCGAAATCGAATCAGAAAAGCCTCTGTTTCTGGATTCATCTTTGGCGCTTTTAAGTTTTCACAATTTTCTGGAATCTTCCACTATTCTGATAATAGATCACGAAGTTCTTTATCCAACCCTTCAGACAAGTAACTATTCCATCTTAAAGTAATAGAAGGATCCAAAGGAGGACCTAAAGATGTCCCCGCTGATGGATCTATGCCTAACAGATTGATTATATTTGTTTGTGTACCGGAGAAACCAGGCATATTTATATTATTCGCCGTTTGCTCAATAACGTTAGTCTCATCACTTGAATTTGATAAAATGCGAATTCTTTTACTCATTCTCCTCATTTTCGCCTAAAACAAAATATCCAATCCTCGACGCACGGTGAGGCCCACTAAAGGTAAGCTGCATAAACAGAAAACCAATGCGAACACATTATTTTTAAAATTACCTCCCTGCATAAACAGAGAATAATATTTTATTATTTATGGTACTTTGCATAAACAAAATACATCTGTGAAGGCCAATATCCATGCATAAACATGGATAAATAAATTGTACGAGGATCTTTGCATAAACAAGGACCCTTATCAAATTTTGAAATATAATAAAATAAAATAACTTACTTGCAGAGCTCGAGGTTGAAGAGTTCTAAATCATGCATTGAATTACGTCCAAATTTTTCTTAATTTTTCCATATTTGGCACTTTTTGATCTCTTCGGCATTTTAACAAACCACTAAATTTTATTACAAATTACTATATAAATCACAAATAATTTTAACATGTATTCGATTCATTCGATTTCGCACTGAAAAACGTAATGATTGGTATAAATCAGGTAGATATGGTCCGAACCGGTAGGTAAACATCTTTTGTGTTGATTTTAAACAGTGGTTTAATATCGCATCAGAGGCGTAACTATAAATTGTTCTTGGTCTATGAAGACGTGTTTACGAAGTATAATTGAATTTTACCGTTGTCTGTATTTGTACACTATTTCAGGATACCTATTCTCTAACTCATGGGAGCACTCCCACACTCCCATGCTCCCATACTCCCATGCCAACGTTGCCAAGTCGACAGAATAACTTTGATCTACTATTTAAGGACCGATCCACCGTTGTGTTAAACGAAGTTTAAAATGACATTTTTACATTAACAATGTGATTTTAATCTCCGTTTAATTCAACGGCGGAATCGTCCTTTAGTAGTTCAAATTTGCTTTGTGATAAATACGGAGCTAATCTGGCAAGCCCGCAATTCTCCCTCCCATAGTATAAAATCTGACCTTACTACGCATGTACCTGGGCTAAAAATGAGTACCCACCTAAGAGTAAGAGAGCAAAATATATGGGAGCACTCCCATGGGAGCGTTCCCATGACTTAGTGAATAGCTATCCAGACAACGATTTCACTAATGGCAGTAAAGGTTCAGAGTGTATTTGAAAAATGAGAAAATCTGCCAACTTACCTTTGTCTCTAAATAATTGGCGTTTACATTTATAAGGATTTATATGTAGATAAATATTTAGAGCTGCCTTGTGAATACGGATGTAAATAAAACTTCATAAAAATATCAACATGGTATATATTTAGATTCTATTTTGAATTAAAGCTCGATATGATATTTTTTTTCTTCATCTGCTATATCACTGGTTTCAAATCGTTGCTTGTAAATTTTTACAGGATCTGTCATGTAGTGTTTATGAAAAGAAATGGCCTCGTGAGATGCCAAATAGTCAGGACTATAATCGGATGGTCTTGCCTGAAAAATGCAAATGAATTATAAAAATATATGCAAAGTGTTCCAAGTTATCATTTACATACAATATATCGTATATATGAAAAGATAAAAAACCAAACTTTTATTGGAATTCTAATTTCCACCCTTTGAAAACTAACCCCAACTTTTTTTTCAAATTGCATATTTTCATTAAAACTGTCACTTTATTTTTAATACCACAATATATCATACTTAGTAGTTTTTATGAATTAACACCTTGGCTTAAATGTGTATCACATGTGATATATAATTTGACACTATGAAATAAATTCCGAAGTACCTTGTTGTGTACCAAGTAGTTTGGACTTTATTTTTATCCTCCTACTGTATATCCTAAACATTTTTTTGTTTTTGTTTTTGTTAAAATAAATGTATAAATACAACAGTAGCTACATTTTATTCATGTCAAACTAAATTACGATTTTTACATATTTATTTATATCACTTATTAAGTTTATTCCAGTAACCGTTCTTTAGTAAATTCCTTTAAATTGTAATCAAACAGTCTTAAAACTGATTGCAATAAGCAGTGCTCAATATCACCAGTGATACACACAGTACAGAAGGGACCCCAATCGAACGTATCACATAGTACCACAAAACAGAATCCTGAAATTTGTCTTGTTAACACAAAAAAAGAAAGATATTATGATTTCTAACTTATCTAATTGATATCCTTTAAAAGTCCTTGATTGCTACCGAATCTCTGGTCAAAAATAAATTAAAGGTAGTTTTTTGCTTTTTGAACTTCTTTAAAGTACTGTGCAAATTGTAGTGTAGCTATTATAAGAATTTAAATTTTGTGTTAGTTCTGATTTACAGTAAATCACAATTGCTTCAATTTCAATAATCTTGTTATAAAAAAAATGCCATTTACGTTTAGTCTTGAAGAATACACATTGATATGTTATTGGTTAATGAAGAATGCTAAAAAAGCGTTTATATCACGAACGTTTTCTCCAACGTCCATTATGGTATTTTCTAAATTAGAGCCCAAAATACACAATAGTTCCTTCCCAAACAAAAAAAAAACATGTTCAGTTCAGTTAGAGCCGAAGATAATTTGATTAATATACTTTAATATGTTGATATCAATCCCCATACTTTTATTAGAAAATTAGCTGAAGAGCTTGTAACATTTTAAAATTCCATTTAAAAATGTTATTTTGTGTGACATCCTGTATAAAATAGTATTCGATTAATTTTAAATTTAATTATCGCCGCACGCGATATTCCTAAGAAAGGGAAATTTTGTGAAGTGGGAGTATAATAGGCAGACGATATCGATATTGTATCTTGAAATTTCATTTTCCGATTATATTTTGAAGTATCTACCAATGACTGGCTGTAAACAGCAGCGAGTTGAAATTTCATTAAAAAATATCTTAGTAGAAATTATATTTCTACTTGTTGTTAGTTATAAGTGTATTTTTTGAAAGTAAAGTTAAATATTAAATTAAATATGCTTTTGTAATTCATTTTGGTTGCTGGAATTGTACATTATTTATATTAATTAGTCTTTATTGTTATCTTGATTTAATTTTAAAAAGAAGTTGTTTAAAACTTAATTTATATCTCATACAAGAGCCTCGTGAAAAACAGAATTTATTTTTTGTTTAGAAAGCGAATAGAATTTGCTTGTAAAATACAAGATGAACTAACCGTCCAAACATATTTTCAAAAATGATCCAAATATGGAATTGAACCAGAAACAGTAAAACTTATAAAAAACCAGATATTAAAAAATCATAGCCCTCAGAAAGTCTAGATACCGCTTGGCGTATGCTGTCAATACAAAAAAATTACCCCATTCAAGCTTGTCGCCATGTTAGGTAAATTTATGTTTTGGCTACACTGATTTTTAGTTTGTGTGTTCTGTAATACGTGAACACCGATAATCTGCACTTTGTTATTAGTTATAAGTGAGTGAGACGCACAATTTCTAATTTCAAATTAAGAACAAAACTTTGACAAACCTATTTGATTTTCCTAGATCTGTTCAGACAGGACCGGTTTTATAAATTTTCTCGTTCTTGAAATGTTATTTTTACCTGGTTATATACACACCCCACACAAATTATCGCATCACTAAAATGTTAGCAAAAGTTTGAAGTTATTTTTTTTCTAAACCGTTTGATCGATTTGGATATTCTTCTTTTTGGATGATAGGTTGATTCGTGGAGATTAATAATCTCTATAATTCTGTATTTAAAATTTACTTTTTGAATGAATACTGGGTGTTGCCATAATATAGGGTTTTGGATAGAAAATTTGTAACACCCTGTGGGGTGTACCAGTAATAACAGCGTATTGCAATTAATAGTCGACTTTAGCCTCATCTTTTCGTAAAATGTTCCTTTTTGGTTCGTTTTATTATCTCTATTTTTAGAGGAGATTTACAGTTTTTTATCACAGTCTCTTTTTACAGACTCACATATTGGTAGTTTACAAAGGTTTACATGCATATATTGAATAAACTGAAAGGTAGGCTTTGACAAATGAAAAATTATACGTAACGTCATCCAAATTCAAATTGACAGTTTGCTGGTATATAAATTTTTGCGGAACATTTCAACACTTTTCATTGTGATTTCTTACAATACTTACATTTAAACTGTGTACTAAACTGGATTACAATGAACGTTCAACGACACTTATCTGAAGAACAGGCCGTAAAAGTAATTACTCTGATTGAAGATGGACGAAGTCAAAGATACGTTGCTAACGTAATTGGGGTTCAACAAAGTACCATTTCAAGAGTTGTAAGGCGCTATAGAGAAACCGGGCAATATTCTAGGAGAGAAGGTCAAGGACGTAGAAGAATTACTACAGGTGTAGATGATCGTTTTTACGAGTAACGGCCTTAAGGACTCGACATTGTACTGCGCGAATGATTCAACACGACCTGCTAGCAGATAGAAATGTAAACATATCTTTACAAACTGTCAGGAATCGCCTTCGTGAACATAATTTGCGAGCAATGGTTCCAGCAAGAGGTCCACTTCTTACTAGGGCGCACAGGGTTGCCAGGTTACAATTTGCTAGAGAGCACGTGGAATGGGGTCTTGCAGAATGGTCCAATGTACTATTTTCTGATGAATCCAGATTTTGTCTATATTCCTTAGATAGACGTATGCCAGTTTATCGAAGGCCAGGTGAGCGTTATTCTCAAGTCAACTTTCGTCATACGGAAATTTTTGGCGGCGGGTCGACTATGGTATGGGGCGGAATATCCTACCATGGACGCACAGAGCTAGTGGTAGTTAATCAAGGAACGGTGACGGCCGATCGATACATACGGGATATTCTGGAACCTCATGTGATCCCATATGGCCCTTTCGTTGGTGAGAACTTCATATTCATGCAAGATAATGCACGACCACACACGGCCAGAATAGTCATCGATTATCTAAATGAAGTTAATGTCACTGTAATGAATTGGCCAGCCCGCAGTCCAGACATGAATCCCATAGAACACGTATGGGATCATTTAGGATGGGCAATTCAACAAGATCGTATTCCATGTAGAACACTGGATGAGGTTCAAAATAAATTGGTTATGTTTTGGAACAATATGGATCAAGGCTATATCCACAACCTGTTTGAAGGGATGCCAAGACGAATGCAAGCTGTAATTGCAGCGAGAGGAGGCAACACTCGGTATTGAAAATTATTGTATTTTAAATTAGGCTTTTAAAATTAATTTTGTTTTGTTAAAGATTTAATAAACATTCTTGTTATAGTGTTATGTTTCTTCGCATATTTCCTCTAAAAATAGAGATAATAAAACGAACCAAAAAGGAACATTTTGCGAAAAGATGAGGCTAAAGTCGGCTAGTAATTGCAATATGCTGTTATTACTGGTACACTCCACAGGGTGTTACAAATTTTCTATCAAAAAACTTATATTATGGCAACACCCAGTATTCATTCAAAAATTAAATTTTATATACAGAATTATAGAGATTATTAATCTTCAGGAATCAACCTATCATCCAAAGAAAAGAACATTCAAATCGATCAAACGGTTCAGATAAAAAAATAATTCAAACTTTTACAAAAATTTTAGTGATGCGATAATTTTTGTGGGGTGTTTATATATTATTGAATAAGTGTTTTGTGTACATATTGCTATGAGAATTATAGAGAAATTCAGTGAGATTTATGTAATATAATGCAAATTACAAGTAAACCAACTGTTCCTGTTTGGCAATATGGAGAAAATACCTACTTCAATGTCAAATGTACTATTTAAAAGAATGTGATTGTTAACCGGTCATTTATTTATATTACGAAAATAAAAACTCGAATTTTTTAACTAGGGAAAAATATTACATCGGTAACAAGGTATTTTTAGAAAAACTAATAGATTACTCCTATTCCTATAGTTTATTTGAAAATGAATAATAGCAAAATTATATAAAAATATGGACATTTGCCATAAAAACTGTGCTACCAAGCATTTTCAAATAAACTATAATGATAATTTGATTTAATAGAGCGAGTATAAGATCTCACCTGTTAGAGAAATTGGGGCATAGGGAAGAGATTATGAAGCAGGTAAGCAAAGTCGTTGCAAAAGATAAATATATAGAAGTTATTTTAAAAATTTGATAAAAAAACTAGTGGAACAACAAATGGAGTTGTCGCTATCGGAGATCCAATCAGCAGAAAGTAAAAAAAAACTTTGGGAATGTTGGAAAAGGGCACAGCAATAGGCCCAAAACAATTCCTTGGTTTTTTAATAAATATAATCTTGTGAGATGTAAAAAATACTGCTAGAATGGAGAAGCAGTATTGTTCTAATGTAGAAAACCCAGGGACATACAGCAGTGCACTAACCATAGGCGAATAGTCACTAAATTATACAAGAGTCCCATCTCGATTTTATTTTTAAATATTTTTGAGAATACCTATTATTATTTGTTACATTGAGTTTAATAAAACCACAGATTTTAAATGTATTGAAAGTTATTTTAAAA